TGATCAATCATTTAACTGTTGATCTGTTTTTGTCACTATGTACATCTAGTCACTGTCAAACTTTCAGGAAACAAACATCCAACTTCTCACTTCATCTTCAAGTCGATGAAGCTTGGCGTGCGCCATGGGGGTTGGCGTGCACTTATCAACCCCCCCACATAGCCAGCATTTCCGGTCCAATGCTTCTTAAGTTCAACAAGTATTGGAGGAACATGAAACTCTTTGCAGCAATTACATCCGTCTTTGACCCTCGATTCAAACTGAATTATGTTGAGTACAAACTTCGAGAAAGCACAGCCGATCAGGAAAAGGCATCCGAGGAAATCAATGAAATTAAGAACGAACTCTACACATGGTACAAGGAGTATGTCAAGGCTGCTGAACCAGACACTCCAGTGGTACCAGCTGGAAACAATGATAACCAAAATGGACAAGAGAAATATGCCGGTGAAGATGAAGACAACATTGCATTCCAGAAACACCTTGCTAAAACGAAAGGGGTGAGCACCACCCGTGCCCCAACCGGTGAGCTGGATCTCTACCTCCAAGAGCCAAATGTGATGGTCCCAAAGGAGGCCAAGTTCAACATACTCGAGTGGTGGAAATTCAATTCAATGCGATTCCCTACCCTAGCCCAACATGCAAGAACAATCCTCAGCATACCTGCTACCTCGGTAGCATCAGAATCGGCATTCTCTGCCTCTGGGAGAGTTTTGAATGAGTACTGAAGTAGCCTCAATCCGGATACCCTGGAGGCACTTGTGTGTACTCAAGATTGGCTCAACCCACACGAACTAGACATCTACACATTGGATGAATAGATAGCAGCCTGTATATACTACTCCGATCATCATTTCCTCTTCTTAGAAAAATAAATCATGTTACTTTTTTCATTGCAACTCAAAAAAAAAGGCACAACCCATGGGTAGACCCACAGCCTGACCCAGACTCTCTGGGTCGATTCATGGGGCGGGTCTCAGGTTTTGAAAAAGATGACCCGACCCAACCCAACCCATTTGAACTTGAGTCGGGGCGGGTCGGCATTTTTTTGACCCGACCCAACCCATCCTCACCCCTACCCTGGCCCATTGCACATCAACCCGGCCCCACACATCCCTTTCCCCCTGGAGCGCGCAGCCATGGAGGTAATCAGTATGGAGACCTATCTTAACATTGCTCACATACCTCGCGACAACCTCCGTACCCGTTCCCGACTTCTGGTCCACGGCATTGGCCATTGGACTTTCTTTCGCGCCACCAATGAAGCGGAATTGATTCGATTGGGATTCCCCTTGGGGATTTCCCGCTTGCTGTGTGAAGGGGTAGGCTGATTGGAGGTGTTCGTCGATGAAATGGAGAGAGAGGGGATAGAGTTATTGCCCATCATTTAGCTATAAAATAGTTCATTTATGAGAAATCCAACCTGTTTGCCGCAATGCATGATTGAGGCAAACCTTGCCTCATGTCAATTCCACCCAACTGGTGCACAAAAACAACCCGATTGTTTCCTTTTTCATCGAACCAGAAAACATTTGAGAAAATCATCCAGACCAGATTGGTCCTTGCTTGAGACAACCTCCCAGTTCTGCTCACAGAACTTTGGCCTTTCAAAAAACTCTGTTACTTTGAAATGAATGAGGCAAAAAAGAATACATTGGTGGCCTCAATCAAGCAAAAAGAAGTGATTTGATCCATTGGGGGTTTGGTAACAATTATACAATGACACAAAAGCCTGGTTGTTCAGTTGTGGGGGTGTGAGCACCCTGATCTGTGCCTGCCGTCGGTGATGTTTGACATTGGGGTGGGGTGGATTTGTTGGGGGAGTGCTTGACCAAGTTCGGTGTCCTGAGTGGACACCCCTCTTTCCCCGAGCAAAAGACGGGTGTAACCAATGACCGGCACTGTCGGCCAGTGGCTCCACCCCCATGGCCGGATCTTGGCTGTGACGGGAATTTTGTCCATCTTGGATTGGACATTTAGCCGGTTCTT